CGTTTTTAGGCATTTGATTTTTGACGAAGAGGCCAAGAGTATTCAATAGGAAAGAATCGTCTTTTCAACAAATGATGTAGGAAGACTGCGTATCCACATGCAAAAGAATTTGGACTTCTATCAAATATATACATAAAAATTAACTCAAAATGGACCATAGACCTAAATGTAGGAGTTAAAGCTATAAGACTTTTAAGCTTCTTATTTCCCCTTCAATTTTGAATGATAGCCTTGCTGGATAGATTATTCTTGGATTCAGTCCTTTAGTGATAAAGAATTGATTCCATCAAAATTTAAAAACTTTGTGTTTCAAAGGACATCATGAAGAAAATTAAAGGACAACCCATAGGATGAAAGAAAATATTTTCAAGTTATATATCTGATAAAGGACTTGTATCTAGAATATTAAAAACTCTAAATTCAATAATAAAAGATAAATAACCCAGTTTCAAAATAGGCAATTACAGCCCTGGCTGGTGTGGCTCAGTTGGTTGGAGCTTTGTCCCGTACACTGAAAGGTCATGGGTTTGATTCCCGATCAGGGCAAAATAGGCAATTACAGCCCTGGCTGGTGTGGCTCAGTTGGTTGGAGCTTTGTCCCGTACACTGAAAGGTCATGGGTTTGATTCCCGATCAGGGCACATACCTCGGTTGCGGGTTCAGTCCCAGTCAGTGTGCATCTGAGAGGCAACCAATTGATGTTTCTCTCTCTCTCCTTTTTCTAAAATCAAAAAACATATCCTCAGGTGAAGATTTAAAAAATAGGCAATTGCAATCGACATTATTCTAAAGGAAATATACAAATCCTATATAATAAAAGTCTAATATGCTAAGTGTCCGGTCATCTGGTCAGCCGTTCAACCAATCAAAGCGTAATATACTAATGATATGCTAAGGCCACTCAACCACTCGCTATTATGTGCACTAACCACCAGGGGGAAGACACTCCAACCAGTAGGTTAGCTTGCTGCTGGGGTCCGGCCGATCAGGACTGAGCGAGACAAGCAGCACACGCCCTGGTCCCTCCTGTGGTCCCTTCCTGGCTGGCCAACCTTTCTCATCCCTCCCCGGCCCTGATTGTGCACTGGTGGAGTCCCTCAGCCTGGCCTGTGCCCTCTTGCCATCCAGGACCCCTCGGGGGATGTCAGAGAGCTGGTTTCAGACCGATCCCACAGGCCAGGCCGAGGGACCCCACTGGTGCACGAATTCGTGTACCGGGCCTCTAGTAGCTAATAAGTACATTGAAAGTTAATAGGGAAATGCAAATCAAGATCACAATGAGATGCCACTTCTCCCCCATTAGAATGGCTATAATTTAAAAAGCAAACAATAACAGTTTTTGGTGAGGATGTGGGAAAATTAGAACCCTCATATATTGTTGACAGAAAAGTAAAATGGTGCAGCCACTTTTGAAAGCAATTTGGCAGTCCCTCTAAATGCTAAAAATAGTTACCATATGACCTACCAAAAATATGTCCACACGAAATCTTGTATGTGAATGTTCATAGCAGCTTTATTTGTAGACTCAAAATGTACCGTAAACAAGCTACATGTCTATCAACTGATGAATGGATAAACAAAATGTGATGTAGCTATACAATGGAATAGTATTTGGCAATGAAAAGGAACCAAGTACAGACACAAGCTACAATATGGTTGAACCTTGAAAGCATTATGCTAGGTGAAAGAAGCCAGTCACAAAAGACCACCTATTGTGTGATCTCATTTATATAAAATGTTTAGAATAGGCAGGTCCATAGAAACAGAAAGTAGATTAGTGGTTGCCTAGAATTAGGGGGAGCAAAAGAGTGGAGTGGGGAGTGAAAATGGTGACTGTTAATGGGTACAGTTTCTTCTGGGGATAATGGAAATGTTCTAAAATTAAGGTGATGGATGCACAACTCTATAAAAACCATTTAATTGTACACTTTAAAGATGTGAAGTTTACAGTATATAAGTTATATCTCCATATAGCTATTTTTAAGTGGCTTCTTGCTCACTATTGGGAAAAGACACCAGATTGTTCCATTTAGTTCCCTCAAAAAATGTGTTCCTGTGATGCATGGAGGAACAGGCTATGAGAATTGCCTTAAGGGTCGCTAGTAATAAAAGCTGGAGGCTGAGAGGAGCCAGGGGAAGAGGAGGATGGAATAAGGGATGGAGAAGGAATGATAAGTGATAGGCAAAGGGATGCACCGGAAATTAAGGCATAAGTCGTCTCAAGGTTGGACAGCCAGGTGGGAAAGGGAGAGGAAATGTGGGAGTGGGATTTGCAGAATATATTTACTGCCAACTTTGTAGGAATGGGGGCCAGGTGGTTCAAAGCCAAGCTGCAAAGCAAATAATTATGAGGCTACAGACTTCACTGATTCCTTGAGTATATAATGCTGTGTAGAGCTGATAGGGATTATTTGGTAAAAGTATATGAGCACTGTGGCCAGTTGGGAAAAGCAATCATGACTGCTATCACCAAATCTGTAGCAGAAAAAAATTATAATACGATTCTGCAAATAGCCAGAAAAAAAAAACAAATAAAAGGCTAACCTTTCCTACAAACAAAGCTGTGGATTAACGTTAGGTAACTTCCAACAGTGCTCCTTTGTCTAAGCAGAAATCCATGTGCATAATCTTATTTGTACAGCCCCTTGCACCTTGAGAAGGGTATGGTTAATATCTAAAAAAGTTTTCCCTAAATTAGAACTTTTAAGAGAGATGTTGGATCTGAAATGTGCCTATATTTTAAAATTGATTTTAGAGGAGAAGCAGGGGATAGAGAGAGAAACACTGATTGGTTGCCTCCCGTATGTGCCCTGACCGGGAATCAAACCCCCAGCCTTTGGGTACACAGGACAACACCCCAACAATGAGCCACATTGGCTATGACCTACATAAGAATTTTAAAATAAGAACACCCGATAAGTTAAAGAATACAATGGTAACTCGTTACGCACACGCACACATCATCCCCCAAAGGTTAAAAGTCTGGCAAGATGCAAATCACACCACTAGTAGCCTCTTCCTTGTGACTTGAGAGTCCATCTCTTTCTCTCACAGATGGTAGAAGAGACAGAAGAGCTGTGACCAGGCCTTACTCATCTGTACAGTCACTAGATGATGATAGTTATAATAATTAACATGTGTGAAGGTTTTTGCAGTGTCCAAGCCACCACCATGCATTTGCTTTTCATTTAATTTTAATCTTTACAGAAACCTCCCCTCTCATGAGAAAATCAAAGCTTAGGAATGAAGTAACTTGCTTAAGATCTCTTACCACTTTCTCCTCAAGTGTATAAACACACCTTAACCTCTCTCAGTTTAACAAAAAGAAACCCATTCTGTACTCCACATGCCCTCCAGCCAGCCTGTCTCTTTTCCCATAAGTAACCTTTTTCAAAAAGTAGCTCACACTCTCTTTGCACTCATATTATTACTTTCTTGTCTAAGGAATGTAATGTACAAAGGCAGGTCACAGGTGAAAGGTTGCACCTGGGGAGCAGGCCTTGAGCTCCTGCAGCTTGGACCATGCATGAGTATTCAACACAACTTGAGGGTTTAACAAGAGGGATGCCCTTGACCTCTGAAGAAAGTGGGCAAGCCCTGGGCAGGCAGTCAGGCTTGGGAAACTTGGAGCACTCCTCGGAGCTCCAAGGAGCTTCTCGTTCCATGGCTACTTTCCCCTCCCTTTCTCTCTGAAGAGAAGGAAGGAAGGAAGGAAGGAAGGAAGGAAGGAAGGAAGGAAGGAAGGAAGGAAGGAAGGGAGGGAGGGAGGAATGCAGGTAGGAAGGAAGGAAGGAATGCAGGTAAGGAGGAAGGGCCGGAGGGTTCTTTCAAAGCAAAGTCATCTGATCACAAACCCCTTTATTAGGATCCCTTCCAACTCACTGCTGTGAGAGAAGGTCCTTCTCACCAGAATTGTTTCCCTCACCCCCTCTCATTGCACCTATAATTTCTCCCTTTCAACCTCATGACCTCACCCCCTCTCATTGCACCTATAATTCTTCCCTTTCAACCTCATGAATGATCTAGATCTTGAAAGATGTCCTGAATTGAAGAGTCTCAAGAAGCTGAACAGGACGGGAGGGGGTGAGGATGCTGTAGGTGCCACCTGCTTCCCAGTGCTTCTCAAAGTCACCCGGGGAGGGTCACGTAGAGGATAGAAAAGTACGATGCAAAGAGGCCGAGGAGTAACTGAATGGTCTTGGGTACAGTTCGTTCTCTCTCCCCTCCCAGCTGCACTCACCGTACTTCCTGTTCTGTTATCTGAAGTGTGGGTCTGGCACCGTGTGAAGACACAAGTGCCCACTTGCAGCCAAGCACAGCAACCTTTCCTCCGGCCCAATGGTCACCCCTGCTCTCGGTGCTCTGCACTTCCGGCTGCAAAAGCAGGCCCAGCGCTCACCTCCCCAGACCCTGAGGCGATGAGCCGGTGCTTAAAATCTAGACAGAGTTCCCACATATTTTCCCACACTTTTCATCCCTTCTCTGTAATCCAGGCTGCTGGAGAATTAGTATCTCCTTTGATAGCAAAGGGGACAAATATAAGTAGTCAGGGGAGGCCAAGGCAAAATCACAAAGTAGGCGAAATATATCTTTCATGCTCCCTTCTCTTTCCTTGCTCCTTCTCCCTCTACTGAAGTCAGGAAAGAATCAGAAAATACTAATTTGTAACTTAATGTGAAATGTAAATATAAAGTTCTCTTGTATCTCACAGGGCCTTTATCTGCAGTTATAAAATTTAAAAGTTTGGGCACTCCTAGAAGCAGCCTTTCAGGCAGGTAGCAAAGGTATTTTTAGGGAATGGGGGAGCCGTCACCTGGGAATCACCCCAGGTAGAGAGCTCTTAGAAACACGCTCAAGCCCAGGATCTTCCTGCCCGTGGAGCTGGACCAGGTGAGGAGTTTGAGATGAATGGTCCACAGTCATTCGACTCAGGGGCTTTCTCCCAAACTCTACCGCTCTGGTGGCTTTTTCTGTCATCACCCCCCTTCTTAGGCCAGTACCTGGTAAGTCATGGTGACCCAGGAAGGTTGGATCAGGGGAAGTGAAGAACAGGCTGTGCTGATGATTCATTAAAGCCTGTGGCTTCTGACTCCTGCACAAGACTCCTCATCGGAGGGTGCGGCTTGGGTCATGCTGGGCACTCAGCAGCTTTGTGGTGGGTATTGGTTTGTGCTTCCTCCCCTTTGCTTTCGATTCAGTGCTTTCCTGTTGCAGTCTGAGCTGTTCTGTTTAGCGGTGGCCCCACAGCAGCCACCACTGTGTGCAAACTGGATCCATCCAGGGGCAAGCGAAGGGCAACCACAGGGGGAAGGGTTGAGAGGTAAGAAAGGAAAGTGGTGGAAGCCAGCTGGAAAGGAGAAAAAATTCCAAAGACAAAATGTCATGATGAATAACAATCAAGAAAACATTCCAGTAATTTAAAAAGTATGTTCCAGCTCACATTCAGCCCTGGTTAAAGTCCATCCTGATCTAAGTTAATTTGTTCAAATACATTTTCATTAGAACATACCCTTGAGTATATTTTTCAAAGAAATAAGAAATGTATAGGATGAGATAAGGTTAATCCAAGAATTAATTGAATTCAAGAGGGGTGGGGGGAGGACAACGAGGGTAAAGGGGGTCAAATACGTGGTGATGGAAGGAGACTAGACTTCAGGTTGGGCGCACACAATAGAGTATGCAGATGCTATATATAAAGTTGTACACCTGAAATGTATGCAACGCTATTAACCGATGTCACCCCAATACATTTCATTTAGAAGCATGTTTACCAATTTAAAAAGAGTTAATTAAAAATTAAGTATCCAAATTCAATTTTAATTCAGGAATAAGATATCTGACAATATGCGGGGGGAGAAGAGAGGGGGAGCTTAGATGAGCTGTGTTTGAGGTCCTGTAATAGACTGTCCCAAGTGAAGGGACGCGCATCTGTGAAGGCCTAGAAGCGAGGAAGTAGGGGTGTGCTTGAAACCCTGGAATCCGACATGAGTGCAGTGCAGACTGGTGGTGGGAGGACAGGCTGCTGATCACAGAGGGCTGACGAGCCCGGCTAAAACGATTGTTCCCTAGCCTAAATGATTTTAAACAGGAGGAGGTTAACTTTATCAGGTCTGCATTCACAAAACACCTTTTGATGGCTGGTGGAAAATGATCCAAGGGGAGAGAAACTGAAGGCAGGAAACGAGCAAAGTGTTGCAAAGATCATTTAAGCCAGGATGAGGTTAAGTGGGTAGTTTCAGAGAAGTAGACTTTACTGAATTTGGTTATTGATTGAATGTGGAGGGTGAGCAAAAGAGGAATCAAGGATGAATCCTAGATTTCTGGCGCAAGCAATGGGGTGGATGTTGTGGCATGTATTTGGATAAGGAACGTTAGAGAGATAGTGAATGAATATGGTTTCAGAATTTCCAGTTGGAGAAGTTCTAGAAGGCAATTGAATGTGTCAAGTTCAAGGCAGGTAGAGATTTGGAAGTCATTGGCATACAGACCTCAACCAGTCCTTGAAGGGGATGAGATTTCTCAGAGAATGCGTAGAGAGAAAGGACACTGACGTAGGTCAGGATCCCGAGGAACACCAACCCTTAAGACAGGGATGGCGAACCCAGGACACGCGTGTCAGAGGTGACACGCGAACTCATTTTTTTGGTGGATTTTTCTTTGTTAAATGGCATTTAAATATATAAAATAAATATCAAAAATATAAGTCTTTGTTTTACTATGGTTGCAAATATCAAAAAATTTTTATATATGACACGGCACCAGAGTTAAGTTAGGGTTTTTCAAAATGCTGACACGCCGAGCTCAAAAGGTTCGCCATCACTGCCTTAAGTTCATAGAGAAGGAGGAGCTTGCAAAGAATGTGGAAGATCCATGACAAGGCAGGAAAAAAATAGTGCATGGAAACCAAAGGAAGACAGTAGGTCTTTCAAGGAGGTCAATAGTGTCAGATACTTAGAGTCCAGTAAGATAAAGACTGATGTGTCCATTGCTGTTAGTGACACAGGGAGCATTACTGTCCTTAGCGAAAGCCCCTCCAACACAGTGGGAGCCAATTCCAGATTAAACTAGGTTGAAAAGAGAGAGAAGAATTAGGAACAGCAAGGGTAGACAGCTCATTCCTCTCCCTCAAATGCCCTTCCACACTGTTCCTACTTTGTAAAGTCTTGCCCATTCCAGGACTGAGCTAAAGTGAAGGGAATTGCTTTATTTTCCTTTCAACTTTATTTTGTATTGGTTTCAGGTGTACAGCGTAGTGGTTAGATAATCATATACTTTACACAGTGAACCCCTCGATGTTTCCAGTACCCATCTGACACCATCCATAGTTATCGTAATGTTATTGATTATATTCCCTATGATGTACTTTACATCCCCGTGACTGTTTTGTAACTGCCAAATTGAAGTGAAGGAGATTTACAAACAAACAGACAAAAATCCAATATATATTTTTCCAGAGACAGATTCAGCCAGGGCTGGAAGTCAAGAAGTTGAGTGACTTGCTCTGTGCTCACTAGACAGGAACTTTCAACCAATAAAGGCCCGCACACTCCCTGGTGCCAATGTGGGGGTGTTGGTCTATATTACGCCAAGAATGTGATGCAATTCTTAAGAACAGGAAGAGGTTTAGCTGGAATGGAAAGATGACTCTGGCTGGGGGGTGGCGGCAGAGGGGATGGAATGGGAAACAGTCTTTTTTTTTTTTTTTCAAATGAGCGGAGCCAAAAATGAAGTGACATATGCAGAAGGGAAAAACTGTAATGGAATGCCCTTCTACCCCATCTGATTGTAGTGAAGCAGACAGAAAAAGCATCAGATTCAGAATTGGCTCTTTTGTCATTTATTAAGAGAGAACAAGTACCCATCCCTGGAGATTTTCTTGACATAGGGGGCAGCTCCCCACACTTTCCTCTTTACGCAAAGAGCAGCTATTCTGATTACAGATGAGGTAATTTATCTGTAAGATGGGGATAGTGGCTATCAACCTCACTTGAAATGTGTATGAGAGCACTTCGTATGCTATGGAAACAGTTCAAATGTTAGCCACTGGTGTTCTTGCACAGTACAAAAGCACAAGAGGCCCTGGCTGGGTAGCTCAGTTGGTCAGAGCATCGTCCTGATATGCCAAGGTTGTGGGTTCAATCCCTGGTCAGGGCACATACAAGTATCAACCAATGAACGCATAAATAAGTGGAACAACAAATCGATGTTTCTCTCTTGCGCAAATCAATTTTTTAAAAAGCATAAGAATATTGTAACACAAATTTGAATAATGAAAGAGTAAGAAAGATTAGATATAGATAACACTTACTCCGAATGACACAGACACACGCTATGACAGACATATTTACACAGTGTTGGGAATCGTTTTTTGGACCAAGGTAGGCATCTTAAATGGAAAGAATCAGGCCTGAATAACTTACTTTCTTCTTATTAAAAAAACTATTTAATCCCTGGCCAGTGTGGCTCGGTTGGTTGGGCATTGTCCTCTGCACCAAAAAGTTACCAGTTCAATTCATGGTCAGGGCACCTGCCAGGTTGTGGGCTCAATCCCCAGTAGGGGGCATGCAGGAGGCAGTTAATCGATGTTACTTTCTCACATCCATCTTTCTTCCTCTTCCTTCCTCTCTAAAAATCTATAAAAATATATTCATAAATTATTTAAAAACTGGTGCTATGTGAGATCTAAAATTCTAGAGTTAAATAGGAAACATGACTAGGAGTATCTAATTATACAGGTCAGATCATTAAAATGAGATTAAAGGAATGGCCCAAATCATTTTCCTCAGAGGATTCAGAAAAGACAAAATATTATTTGAAATGAGTGAATGTCTGTTATAGTATTTATAATAATGGGATCGGCCAAACTGCGGCTCGCGAGCCACATGCGGCTCTTTGGCCCCTTGAGTGTGGCTCTTCCTAAGCCTTAGGAGTACCTTAATTAAGTTAATAACAATGTACCTACCTATATAGTTTAAGTTTAAAAAATTTGGCTCTCAAAAGAAATTTCAATCTTTGTACTGTTGTCGGCAAACTGCGGCTCGCGAGCCACATGCGGCTCTTTGGCCCCTTGAGTGTGGCTCTTCCTAAGCCTTAGGAGTACCCTAATTAAGTTAATAACAATGTACCTACCTATATAGTTTAAGTTTAAAAAATTTGGCTCTCAAAAGAAATTTCAATCTTTGTACTGTTGATATTTGGCTCTGTTGACTAATGAGTTTGCCGACCACTGGGGCCCTAGGAAATATAGTCAATAATCTATATATATAAAAGGCTAAGTGACTGTCCATCTGTCCGTCCATCCGTCTGACCAACCGGCCAGTACATATGACACGCACTGGCAATTTAAAAATAAACGTTGACTCGCACACATGCAATACATATAAAGCTCTCACTGGCATCATAATCGAAGCTGAAGTATTATCAGGATCTGTGGAAGGAGAGGTTGTTCTAATTCCAAGAACTGATTTGTCCCCGTCCGACACTGGCCTCCCATTTAAATTAATTCAAAGACAGTTTCCCATGATGCCAGCATTTGTGATGACTATTAATAAATCACAAGAACAAACTGTAGGCAGAGTAGGGATATAAAGTTGTAAATCATCACAAGGGAAATTAGTCAAGCACTCTGAAAGTGTTTTTACTCTGAATGTGGTATGCAGGAGATATTAGAATAAGTTTAATCAATTTATCAGTCATTATTTTTATCATTGTTTTTATATCATGTTTTTTGTTGGTTTTATATCATGTTGTTATTGTTTATTTATTAATCAATTTATATATTATTTTCATATACATTTTACTAATTTTCATCTCTGACACTTCTATTATAGAGAAAGGGCAAATAGCGATATTAAAATATTTCTTCTAATTAATTTCGAGTCAAGGTGCACGAATCTGTGCCCCGGGCCACGAGTACAGCAGACCTCAGTACGCTCCCAGTTGGGTCCTCGACCCAGGGGGGGGAACTTTGTAAAGTATATTATTGTCTAACCACTATACTGTACCCATGAAATTAATACATAATGATATTGAATGAAAACTGTAATTGAAAAATTTTTTAAAGAATTAAGAAAGGGCAAATAGCGATATTAAAATATTTCTTCTAATTTCCTTTCAATGTGCACGAATCTGTGCACCGGGCCACTAGTATTGTATAACTATGTATGGTGCCAGTTGGGTACTGGAAATATTGGGGGGAACTTTGTAAAGTATATTATTGTCTAACCACTATGCTGTACCCATGAAATTAATACATAATGATATTGAATGAAAACTGTAATTGAAAAAATTTTTAAAGAATTAAGACTGAAAAATGGATAAATAAAAAATAAAGGGTGTTCT